AGACTAGAGTTGCCAGGAAAAGTCATGATCCTTCTAGAAACTCATAACATGTTACCAGGGTCACGTGACTTCCGCTTTCGTAACAATATATATATATTGTGTTTGTCTGTCCAGAACTTTTCTCGCGAATCTTTTGATTGAATGCTACAAATCTATATCGTTATAATGGCCTTTGTCCGAGGAGTCCGCACTGAATATTGGCTTTTACATTCAGAATCGTCCTGCCTGTCTATTTTTGCTTAGTCAAACATTTAATACAGGGGAGATAAGTTTTATCGAGATACGTTAAATACATCTGTGTAAACAATACGCTTGTGTTTGTCTGTCCATAACTTTTCTCGTAAATTTCTTGATCAAACCCTACAAATCTCATATCATTAGAAAGATCTTTGTCCGAGGAGTCCGGATTGCATATTGACTTTTCAATTCAGAATTAGCTTACCTGGTTTTTGCTTAGTCAAACTTTTCAATGCAACGAGGATGGCACGCATGGCACAACGTCGTTGTCATCACGTGAAGACTGGCTTCGATTTCAACTTTCGTTTCTTTTATTTGCAAAGTATTTCACACAAACAACACCTAAACTATTTGTAATTCCCAAATAAATGAACGTTACACTAAACACAGTTTCTATGTGCTTTCTCAACTTACTTAGGTATAAAATATGAACGCACAGTTCGTTCAAAACCATATGTTTATGCTTGTGAACACGCATTCAGACGTTTCTACATGTTCAGCTAAGTTTGCTCTCATTACAACTTTACATTTACTTTGAAATAATTGAACTTGTGTTTGTTTCATAGGCTGCTATAAACACCTTTCAGCTACCTTTTTTATCTTTAGTACGGGTTTTACTCTTTGTTTTTGTAAGTTTTTTGTTTCAACTAGTAAAACGGTATCATACTATGTACACTATTATAAGTACAATTACTTTACTTAATTGCTTATTTTACGTGTAGTTCTATTAAGTCAGGTTATGTACATGTAACAGTTTTATTTAATCAAGTTAAGTCTACGGGAGTTTGTTTTTCAAAAAAGACCAGAATTTATCGACCTAACACATAATGCCTGCAAGAAAGCACAGCTTAAATGTCGTGCATGAAAATGATAGAATAAGGGAAATTCAAGAAAAGAACATGAAAACTATCACAAATTGTTTTGCGGGTCGCGGCTGGTTGAAAATATTTCGTTTTTTTTTTTTTTTTTTTAACAAAGGTTTATCTCAAACTAAACAAATCACAAGCAGCTGGTTACAAATATCCGTGCCTCCACAGTAGCACAGTGGTAAGTCTCCTGACTTATAACGTGAGAAACCAGGTTTAAATACCCATGGTGGGCACAGCACAGATAGACCGTTGTGTTGTTTTGTATTTAACTTCAAACAAAACAAACACATATTTTATGTAAGAGGTTTAGAAAATGTTGCTGCTACGAAATCATTTACCAAAAAGAAAAAAAAAGGATGGATCAAACAGCACAGGTAAAATATTATTAATAATAAAAATATATTTTACTTGCTCGACGTTTCGTATTGCAGTTGTTCTGAGCTTACATCTGTGATCGACAAAAAAGTTTTAATATGCTATAAACAGTGGAAAATTTTCAATGCCAAAGATGCTGTCTTTTTTTATTATTAAGTTTACTAATCTTTGTTTTTTAGCGTGTCTGAAACAGTTATTCACTAACTAGATGTAATTCTGCAGGATCCCGGATAGTGTTCTGTTTCAAGAGTATATAAAACCAAAATTAAAAGTAACAAATATTTTTATTTCTTCCTTTTTAAGTTCATGTCATGCTGTCATTTAGCCTACAAAGTGCACAAGTCTTCTCGTGATTCATGGCATGCGCACGTTTTACTGACGTTACGACAGTACAAATTGCAATGTTATGCGCCCCTTGTGTGACATCATTTTAGTGTATTCTGACTGCCTGACAGACAAAACACTACTCTATAGTAGCCCCATTTCGGGGAATAATTCCACATGAATATGCTAACAGCTTCATGGAATACACTAATCAGGCTAAGAAAATTGATTTTTCATTGTTATATTGATGACAAGTTAATGAAGCTACGTTTTCAAAGTACAGTAGCGAGTTTTTCTATTTTGTCGTTTTTCTGCTCACTTGTAAGAATTTCATTTTCGCAATTTGTCAACAGACGCTCCCAAGATTGAGTTATTCCGTATGTAGCAACAAAGGGAAGTGTTTCCACACGTACTGTACCGAACAGCGTACTAAGGACACGCTTTCCGCTCAAAACCTAAGAGAGGATACTTTCTGCCTACGTGAAATCCTGCATCCTGCTTTGTCACGGAAAGTACTTCAGTTAAACTCCGTTCTTGTCTTACTAATTAATCAAAAATAGTAATATTGTGGTATAATTTAATCACAACGAGTATACAAGAATACAAACACCTATACAAGAGCACAAAGTCTGAATACAGTTATCTTTGTTGGAAGGTTTAGCGGGAAAACAACAACAGCAATACAAAATATTTGTCAGGGATTACCTTGTAATTTCAAATATATATTCACGAGCTTAATCATTTCACCAGGCTAACACAGTTGTTCATATTGTCATTACAAAATAAACTTATCAAGTTAACCGATTTTTTAATAACAGTATACGTACACTAAGTGAAAAAAGTGGGAGGGGCAAAATAAATAAATATTCTGCCCCTTCTGTAATGACAGTGGGGCACATCCACCTTCTACTTTGTATGTTAGGCGCCTACATTAAGCATGTGAAGTTTACATCGTATTTATTCTTGATTCTACTACTACTGCTCTTTGTTAATAAAGTTATAGATAATAAAAACAAACAAACTAAGTATTTATGTTATTAGCACATATTTACTCTAGGGTCAACGATGTTAACTAACTCCCAAGTTTGTGATCAACACGTTAGACTAGTATTTGTATTCTAACTTTTACTCACTCAGTTTAATGGCGTAGCTACCATGTATGTTTGTATGATCAATCATCCACATACATGTTCACACTTTTTTAAAGATATATAATATATATATTTAATGTATAAACATAAGATATAAAGAAATATAAAAGTAATGTCTATCCATTCGTTCATTCAAATTTTATTTCAATATATCACTAGTTATAACGATTTGCCCTCCAGACTTCCCACCTGGGCTTCACATGCATGCTTGCATCCACATAAATTTGACGCTGACAACGCCACAAGCGTTCGGTTGCATGTTCAGCAAAAGCTCATGCAAAGCTGTAACTTGTAAGGCAAAATACTGAGATTGTTCAATTATTTATACGTCTACGTTGTTACAACTTCATTACTGCTTTGTAGCTATTGTTGAAGAAGTCTAAACACTAACGCTGCACGTGTACTGCGGAACGTAAATACCTAAATTAAGTTATTTTAGATGCAAGAATATAGTTAGAATTTTAAAGCTTGTTTGTGACATTACATCACCATAAGACTGATAATTATTTTCAACAGACCTTTCTTTACTGGAAATATGCCACCCGTTTTACAGTAAAAAGAAACATAAAGACACCTCTATTATGGTTCCTCTTAATGAGTTTATTACTAAAATATTAGTTGTTGGTGACCTGAATATTAATCTTAATTAATCCTAGGCGTATTAAAATAATTATATTCTTCATATCTGCAGACAAATAAAATAGCTATGAAAGCTAATATTAAAAGTTAATAATATAAACAAATCTGGCCTGTAGATAATTTACAAATGTTAAACAAATACCTCAAACTTCAGAAACAAAAGGTTCAGTACGTTAGGCTTACCTTACATAAAACAGGATCTCGGAGATAATATATGCCTCTCTTACTAGAGTCTCCACAGCAAGGGTCTCCATTAGAACCGAAGTGATCGACGCTTCCATCGTACACTTTTTGATTACTTTGTCCCATTTTTCTAGCCCTAGTATAAATGTTTCGTGTCGGCAATGTTCGTAATAATACCTGTCTAACAACTTCAGTTAGCGTTGCACTCTGTTCCCAATCGCATAGCTTATAGTCTACCCCTATCGTCAGCTGATTCTGATGATGTCACGAAAACAAATACTACAATGTCGCTGACGTCATCGTTTCTGCTGCAAATGCAGAGATAAGTGGTAAATTGTTTCGTTAGTACCGGTTCAGTATACGCTAAATGAAAGCGTCTGTGAAATCTCGAGATTTCTTAATATTTGTTAAACTGGGAAACAACTTATATTCATCTCTTTAAAAAAAAAGTGCATGGGCCGGGCGTAATCAAGTGGTTATGGTTCACGCCCATAGCTGCAAAAACTCGCTCTGCAGTAAGAGGACCGTGGGTGCGCTATAAGAGTAAATGCTGTTTACTACCTGCTTTAACTCTAGTCTATCAGTTCAAAATTAGGGACGACTATTACGCAAATAGCTCTGTGTAGATTTGCACGAGAATTTTAAACAAACAAACAATCTTTAATATACAGTGGACATGTTTTTGTTATATTGTTTTAAGGAATCAAAACTGCGACATTTCAGCTCATATGAGCATGCCATCTTCATGCAATATATGGTAAACATAAATGTAGCATGCCATCTTCATGCAATATATGGTAAACATAAATGTAGCAGGCCATCTTCATGCAATATATGGTAAACATAAATGTAGCAGGCCATCTTCATGCAATATATGGTAAACATAAATGTAGCATGCCATCTTCATGCAATATATGGTAAACATAAATGTAGCAAGCCATCTTCATGCAATATATGGTAAACATAAATGTAGCAGGCCATCTTCAGGCAATCAGTGAACCGCAAAGAGACAGTACCAAAATAATATTTGCAAATCACTAGCAGCAGTAATGCATAAAATTTAGGGTGTTTGCATTGGTTGAATTGGGATTTTGAAAGAAGTGGAACTTCATTTTGCGATTCTCTCCAACATTCCAACCAGAACGCTAATGGCTTGAATCCTCAAGAGACGGAAATCCTTTTCAGACCACTCCGCTCCAATTTAACCCTTGATGGTTGGTACACAGATGTATGGCAGAAAGTAAAGCAACAGCACGGTAGTAACATCACCTGTATGTATGTATGTATGTGCCAAATCATGTAGGGGTAAAGCTAAAGAGGAAGCTGACAATTTCGCAAGAGAAGACCCTTTATCGAATCCAAGACAACTCTACTGGCAGGATATGGACACCTTCTGCACTACTAAGGTGAAAGCGGCAACCATGGAATAAATTCAGAAGAACTGAAACTGCTGGAAAACAAAATAACTGTATGGTATAGGTGAGAAAAGCAAAATATTGGGAATCAGTAGAACAGTATAGAGCCGGAAGGGCATTGGCAACATTAGTAAAGGAACTGTTTTACTTCCTGCAAGGCAACGGCCTCCATATGAAGGACCAGTCTGTCATTACAACCTCTGAGATTGTCACCTAGTGCTCAACTCATCTTTAGGCAATATATGAGTAACAACAATTTTCGTTAATCATTGAGTGCCTGGAGATGCTTACCAGAGGCTCAGTGGTAAGTTTGTGGGCTTATAACGTTAAACATTGGGTTTTGATACCCCAAGGAAGCACAGCCCAGATAGCCCATTATGTAGCTTTATGCTTAACTATAAAAAAATAAACAAAGTCTGAAAATGTCCTGCTCCTGTAGGCTGAAACGTCCCACGTTAATTGCTTAGAAAATCATTTCCAGCTATTCATGATATTAAATTTTATCATCGAGTGGGATTCTCATCTCTTAATTCTTTAAATTTGAAAAATACACAAAACAATAAAATTTGTCTTTGTGACGGCATTAATGGATTTAAATAAATACGTTTATGACAATATTTTATATTTACATGACACAGATTCAAAAAAATCTAAATATGCAATTATGACAAATAGGAAATAAAAAGATGACAAATAATAACACCAAAGATGATTCACCGGAAAAGTACTGAAAATTTTCCCACCCTACGTATTTGTGATGTCAAGATAAGAATTTCCTTCATTATGCTGAATAGCAACATATTTGGCCTTGAGACTCTGCTTAGTTTCTAACCACAGCAATAGATGCCGCCTCTAGCGAAAACTAGCAAATCCGGGAGATATGCTGAAAGAAATGACATACTTTGACTCCGTGTATAAAAAACAAAAGAAATAATTGTTGTGTGAAAAATTATTAATGACTAATAAGAATGCGTCCGAATTAATTCAAGCACTATAAGTATCTATATCGACTCAAAATAATGACATATTTCTACAATGTATTTAAAGACATTTAATGGATCTTAAGTTAACTTTTTTTTAAAAAGTGTCTAAAATATTTTCTATAAGTGTCTGGATTTTTGTGCCCATCGAAACCAGTACATTCCGTATGTGTGTGTACTCTTGTGACCCACTTGGACAGTAACTTCTGTAAACAAGCGTCTGAAAGCTCGTGTCCAATCTAACCTTAGTATATTCTGTAAGCAAACGTATACACTGAGTGGTCACAAGTAAATAGACATCTAATTTTTCGTCATTTAACTGATTTATGCTAACTAATTTGTGTTCACATAGCACTATATAAATGAAAATGGTCCGCACACTAATTATCTTGTGTTATAACATGCCCAGAACTCAATATTCTCTCGAATGGTCAGATTTTGTTAGAGGAAGTATAGTTAGTCAAGCAGATGGTGGAATAAGTCAGCGGCAAATTTCGCAGAATTTGGGAATCCCGCTTTCGACAGTCAACAGAATCATCGTGCAGTTCAAGAAACACGGCAAGGAAACAACTAAGCAGCGTCCGGGTCATCCTGGTC